CTTCATTAGTAGGGCATAGAGTATAAGAGTAGGGGTTATGGTTAATCTATACAAAACACTGGTTAGGCATCAGCGGGAGTACTGCGTCCAGTTCTGGGCACCTCACCTCAGGAAGGACATTAAGGCACTGGAAAGGGTGCAGAGGAGATTCACGAGAATGATACCAGGAATGGGGAACCTTAGCTATGAGGACAGTGGAGAAGTTAGGACTTTTCCCATTAGAGCAGAGAAGGTTACGCGGAGACCTGATAGAGGTCTTCAAGATCATGAAAGGTTTCGACAGGCGAGATAGGGAAAAGCTGTTTCCGTTGGTAGGTGTGTCTGTGACCCGCGGTCACAGTCTGAAGATATCTACCAAAAGACGCAGAGGAGAGGTTAGAAGACATGTTTTCACTCAGCGAGTTGTTGGAATTTGGAATGATCCGCCCGAAAGGGCAGTGAAGTCCGATTCGATAACAGCTTTTAAGAGAGAACTGGACAGGTATCTGGAGAAGACGGGTTTGTGGGGATATGGGGAGAAAGCTGGTGATTGGGGTCAGTGAAAGTGACGCTCCGTCAAAGAGCCGCACAGACTCGATGGGCCGAATGGCCTCCTTCTGTACCATAACATTCTATGATTCTATGGAAGGAAGAATGAGGAGAGGAACTATCAGCTTTATGGTAATATTAAAGGGGTCAAATGAACAGAGAGACCTGAGGGTCCACATAAAGAAATCTCTGAAGGTGACAGAAAAGGAACATACAGCTCTCCTGTCAATCACTGGTAACCAGGGAGACAGTGGGCGTGTCCCTCTTTCCTGTCAATCACTGGTTTCCAGGAGACAGTGGGCGTGTCCCTCTCTCCTGTCAATCATTGGTTACCAGGGAGTTAGTGGGCGTGTCCCTCTCCCCTGTCAATCACTGGTTACCAGGGAGTTAGTGGGCGTGTCCCTCTCTCCTGTCAATCACTGGTTACCAGAAGGCAGTGGGCGTGTTCCTCTCTCCTGCCAATCACTGGTTACCAGGAGTCAGTGGGCGTGTCCCTCTCTCCTGTCAATCACCGGTTACCATGAGACAGTGGGTGTGTCCCTCTCCCTGTCAATCACGGGTCACCAGGAGACAATGGGCGTATCCCTCTCTCCTGTCAATCACTGGTAAACAGGAGACAGTGGGCGTGTCCCTCTCTCCTGTCAATCACTGGTTTCCAGGAGTCAGTGGGCGTGTCCCTCTCTCCTGTCAATCACTGGTTACCAGAAGGCAGTGGGCGTGTCCCTCTCTCCTGCCAATCACTGGTTACCAGGAGACAGTGGGCGTGTCCCTCTCCCCTGTCAATCACTGGTTACCAGGAGACAGTGGGCGTGTTCCTCTCTCCTATCAATCAAGGGTTACCAGGAGACAGTGGGCGTGTCCCTCTCTCCTGTCAATCACTGGTTACCATGAGATAGTGGGCGTGTCCCTCTCCCTGTCAATCACGGGTCACCAGGAGACAATGGGCGTATCCCTCTCTCCTGTCAATCACTGGTAAACAGGAGACAGTGGGCGTATCCCTCTCTCCTGTCAATCATTGGTTACCAGAAGGCAGTGGGCGTGTCCCTCTCTCCTGCCAATCACTGGTTACCAGGAGTCAGTGGGCGTGTTCCTCTCTCCTGTCAATCACTGGTTACCAGTAGACAGTGGTCGTTCCCTCTCTCCTGTCAATCACTGGTTACCAGGAGACAGTGGGCGTGTCCCTCACTCCTGTGAATCACTTGTTACCAGGAGACAGTGGGCGTGTCCCTCTCTCCTGTCAATCACTGGTTACCAGGAGACAGTGGGCGTGTCCCTCTCTCCTGTCAATCACTGGTTACCAATAGACAGTGGTCGTTCCCTCTCCCCTGTCAATCACTGGTTACCAGGGAGTTAGTGGGCGTGTCCCTCTCTCCTGTCAATCACTGGTTACCAGAAGGCAGTGGGCGTGTTCCTCTCTCCTGCCAATCACTGGTTACCAGGAGTCAGTGGGCGTGTCCCTCTCTCCTGTCAATCACCGGTTACCATGAGACAGTGGGTGTGTCCCTCTCCCTGTCAATCACGGGTCACCAGGAGACAATGGGCGTATCCCTCTCTCCTGTCAATCACTGGTAAACAGGAGACAGTGGGCGTGTCCCTCTCTCCTGTCAATCACTGGTTTCCAGGAGTCAGTGGGCGTGTCCCTCTCTCCTGTCAATCACTGGTTACCAGAAGACAGTGGGCGTGTCCCTCTCTCCTGTCAATCACTGGTTACCAGGAGACAGTGGGCGTGTCCCTCTCCCCTGTCAATCACTGGTTACCAGGAGACAGTGGGCGTGTTCCTCTCTCCTATCAATCAAGGGTTACCAGGAGACAGTGGGCGTGTCCCTCTCTCCTGTCAATCACTGGTTACCATGAGATAGTGGGCGTGTCCCTCTCCCTGTCAATCACGGGTCACCAGGAGACAATGGGCGTATCCCTCTCTCCTGTCAATCACTGGTAAACAGGAGACAGTGGGCGTATCCCTCTCTCCTGTCAATCATTGGTTACCAGAAGGCAGTGGGCGTGTCCCTCTCTCCTGCCAATCACTGGTTACCAGGAGTCAGTGGGCGTGTTCCTCTCTCCTGTCAATCACTGGTTACCAGTAGACAGTGGTCGTTCCCTCTCTCCTGTCAATCACTGGTTACCAGGAGACAGTGGGCGTGTCCCTCACTCCTGTGAATCACTTGTTACCAGGAGACAGTGGGCGTGTCCCTCTCTCCTGTCAATCACTGGTTACCAGGAGACAGTGGGCGTGTCCCTCTCTCCTGTCAATCACTGGTTACCAATAGACAGTGGTCGTTCCCTCTCTCCTGTCAATCACTGGTTACCAGGAGACAGTGGGCGTGTCCCTCTCCCCTGTCAATCACGGGTTACCAGGAGACAGTAGGCGTGTCCCTCTCTCCTACCAATCATTGGTTACCAGGAGACAGTGGGCGTGTCCCTCTCTCCTGTCAATCAATGGTCATCAACAGACAGTGGGCGTATCCCACTCTCCTGTCAATCACTGGTTACCATCAGACAATGGGCGTGTACAATCTCTCCTGTCAATCACTGGTTACCAAGAGACAGTGCGCGTGTCCCTCTCTCCTATCAATCAAGGGTTACCATGAGACAGTGGGCGTGTCCCTCTCCCCTGTCAATCACTGGTTACCAGGAGACAGTGGGCGTGTCCCTCACTCCTGTGAATCACTTGTTACCAGGAGACAGTGGGCGTGTCCCTCTCCCCTGTCAATCACTGGTTACCGGGGAGACAGTGGGCGTTACCCTCTCTCCTGTCAATCACTGGTTACCATGAGACAGTGGGCGTTACCCTCTGTGCTGTCAATCACTGGTTACCATAGAGACAGTGGGCGTGTCGCTCTCCCCTTTCAATCATTGGTCACCAGGTGACAATGGGCGTGTCCCTCTCTCCCGTTTACTGGTTATCAGGGACACAGTGGGCGTGTCTCTCTCTCCTGTCAATCACTGGTTACCAGGAGACAGTGGACGTGTCACTCTCTCCTGT